TATGTGTTCATTTTTTTTAATTGTATCCTTTGGTATATATGGTTGTGACTATTTTCTTCCACTGTTTGATCTGAGGAAGTGGGTCTGGCCCACGAAAGCTCATCATCTAATAAACCATCTTGTTAGTCTTTAAAGTGCTACATAGTCCTGTATTTTGTTTCTACTAGCAGACAGGAATTCAACAAGCACGCGATGCACCAAAACTATAAACAGTTTAAAGCTCCAGTCCTACAAAATATGTTTGCCTGAGAGTGGTCCTATTGATTTCTAGCAGCATTACTTTCATATTAACATGTTTTCAGGACCTGGCCTTTAATTGCCGTATGCAGACATGAGGTTCTATCCTCTTCACCAGGTGCAGAGAGAGAGGTATCTCAAAGCTGCATGTATAGATATCTGCTCTGGTATGGCAACTCTGGTGTTCAAACCACTCACTGCATCTGCCTTTTACCTCAACTAGATCAGCAGTTAAATTAGGAACAGTAGTGCCTCTTAAAGTTGTTTTTGTAAAACTATTTTTAGATAATGATTAATTGCAGTCCCACGTACACAGTATCTGATTTTCTTTATGACCTTAGAATGTTGTGATTGGCTTAGTTATACTACAAGATGTTCATTCCAAACATTCTTTTGTGTTTAAATATTAGTGGCATTATATACATAATACTAAAACCAGTACTTAAACTTTTGGGGGGGGGGAGTCAACGTGGCTAATTATTACACATGTATGATTAATAAAATACAAGAGATTTCCACTGCTAGCCAAAATGGCTAACTTTGTACATGTAATTTTTTCAGTGTAGACTTTCTCATGTATGGATGGTTGTCATAAATGCAAGCCAGCTAAAGATATGTGAATCATGTATTATTATAGTCATTCATTCAACCTATGAATAGTAAATTATTCTGACAGCATTACTCAGCTATTCATATTCTAGATATCAGTTCTGTGGGCAGAGGCTATACATAGGTTTAGCCAGGGGTGAGCAAAGGGCCTTCTGCGGGCCGGATCTGGCCCACCAAGCTGATGGATCTGGCTTGTGGCTCCCCTGCCGCTCCCCCTCCACCAGGCGAATCAGGGCCTGGGGATGGGGAGCTTCAAAGTCTCTCACTTCCTTTCCCCGCTTTACCAGGAGTGTGCAGCAGCTAGAGTGACATGCTGATTTAAAAGAGCCAGCGTGTCTCTCTAGCCACCACAGAAGTGAGGAGACTTTGCATACTCCTCCACTCTTAGGCTCTGATTGGTTTGAGAGTGGGGGAGCTGCAGGGTGGCCATGGGCCAGATCCGGCCCACAGAGGGCCCTTTGCCCATCCCTGGCTAGAGAGACATGCTGGCTCTTTTAAAACAGCCGGCGTGTGTCTCTAGCCACTGCATGCTCTTGCGAGGCCAGGAAACTTCACGTGCTCCCCAGACCCTGATATGCCTGGGGGCAGGGAGAGCAGGCTAGGCATCTAGAGGGAACACCAGCTGTTTTAAAACATCTGGCAGGGCTGGGGGGAGAGAGAAGGAAGACTTGCTCCCCCACCCCAGGCCAATTGGGAAGGGGGGGAAAGCACAAAAAGTTTCCTAGTCCTGCCCCTTCTGCCCAAGGCCCCACCCCTTCCGTTTAAACATTATTGCCTGCCTCTGGGTTTAGCTGAGGTTCATTTTTTTTCGTATGGCCATTGATTTTTAACTTATACCCACTTTACTAAAATAAAAATCCAATGATTTGGAATAAGTCTCTTCACAAAGGGAAAATGGGGAGAGGGAGAGGTTTCATGCTGCTTCTTGCTAATTTAGCAGAGTGCATTATATCAAGACAAAACTTTTTAATGCTCACTTTAATACAGCAAAACCGCTAATGAGGCTCTTAAATATTAAATTATTCTAGATATCCTTTTTGCTCAATCTTCATCATTCTCAAATATTCTAATCTTGGCTATCTTATGTTAATCAAGCAATCAGATTGAGAAATCATTTCTGTCTAGAACAGTCTGTACATCTGTTCAATGTTGTAATTCACATGCAGATTTTCAAAACCAACGCAAAGTTGTTAAATTCCATGTCACATTGGCAGATTTAAAAACAAATGTTAATCACAATGCTATTGTTTTAAAATATAAGGAAAGAAAGCCCTAAAAAGTAGCTGCTCACCTTTTCTAGCAACAAGAAGCAGAAAAATCTGAGGGGTAGCCATGTTAGTCTGTAACTCTAAAAATAAGTAGTCCTGTGGCACCTTAGAGCTAACAAATATATATGTGAGAGCAGGATGGTCTGAATGACTGTTTGCAATGCAGCCAGCTTCATGCCTGCCAGATGTGAGCTGTAAGACCAATTCTGCCCTGCAAGATAAATCAACTGTTGATATGTAAATATAGCTAATGGGGGGGGGTGGGAATGGAGAAGGAATCCGGGGTGTGGTTATGTAAATCCAATTCAGCCAGGGCTGATTGGAGGGTGAATTGTTGGAATGGAATGTGATGTATTGTAACTAATTTGGTGGTTGTGGGGTCACAAACCATACTACCCCTAAATGTAGGAACTATAAAATATGACACCAGTGCTTGCAGGAGAGACACCATCTTTGTACAGGGTCTCAGATGAACAAGACTCCCCCTTCCAGATTTGAGTGGATAAATTGGGGGGGGACAGCAAGAGGGGGAAGGGGCTTGAGCCAGCCTGATTCATGCCTGCCAGGTGTGAGCTATAAGACTGGTTCAACCTGTCTGCTCCCTTCCCCCTCCTCTCCCCTCCCCCCCGCTCCCCCGTTCTAAGGATAGACCTAAAGCAGACTCCATAAGGAGTCTCTCTGTTGTCAGGGGCTTGAGCCAGCCTGATTCATGCCTGCCAGGTGTGAGCTATAAGACTGGTTCAACCTGTCTGCTCCCTTCCCCCTCCTCTCCCCTCCCCCCCGCT